CCCCAAAACCCCAAAACCCCAAAACCCCAAAACCCCAAAAGGTGAAGAATTATTGAATAATTCTATAATAACCATTTTCAAAAATGTCTGATTCTTCAGAATCGTCGAAGTCTAATATCGATGTGAGTTATCAACATGCAAATTTGTTCTGGAACTTTTACTAAAATTTGTGCTAATTTGTCCATAGCCCCAAGAAAGAGAGGATAGCAAGGAAGAGAAAAGATCTCTACAGAAACCCATTGAGCCTGCAGAGGAATTCTCACATATTAGTAATGGGTAAGCTTGAAATAGGTGGCTTCTTAGCCGGCTTTGAAGATTTTGTATCAATTTGGATTACTCACTATTTATTTTGAATGGTAATTGTTTCACACCAAAGCAAAGCGTTTCAGTTTGGACTTATTTATAGACACTCAAAACAAAATGAAAGTAATTCTGATGTACTGGAAAGAGTTATCAAGTCTTTTGGAAGGTATGTCCCTACCACAAGGGAGCATCTTCCGTACACTGTAAGTAATTTGCCTCTCCTTTATAATCTCATGTAATTTTCCTTCTCACCAAAAGGTTTTATGGGTTTAAAATTATGAAAATAAAGTATGAACTTCTTTACTTAAACCGGGATGTAGCTATTCTTACTAGATTTAAATTCCCTTTTAATTAGGCTCAAATATTCAAAAATTCTTAACATGTTCTTAATTTCTGATCATTAATGTAGACCAAATTTGGAAATGAAGGATACCTAAAGAAATTAGACCTATCAGAGATCAAGTTCGGGAGAAAATAAAGCCCATATCGACACACTCTGTGATTTCTTGGTCACATGAGTGGAACTAAAGGAGCTCAAACTGAACTATTGCCATATCAATCAACCAAAGTGATATAATAGAGTCATTAAATCTCTGAAGGAGCTATATAAGCTCCATGTGGTTGAAATGGTCCAAGACTGGTCAGAAGACCAAGTCACTGTTTATATGGACAACTATAAGGAGTAAGTGCTAAATTATTCTATAAATATGATTAAATATTGTTTAAAAATCTTTCTTTTCAGTCAGATTAAACTCGTTCTCATGCTGTGTCATTAACTTTAAACAATATTTAATTTCTCATAGACTCTTATCAATCTTTAAGAGGATTGTCAGTGTATATAAATTTAAATTCCTTTCTGAAGAGCATTTAAAATATTACGAAGTGGAGCACTCAGAGCTAGAAAAAGAACTCAGTCTTAATAAAGATATTGTAAAGACTCATAAAGGCAATGATTTAATTAACTGTACAAAAGTTGCTGCCAAGCATTCCAAAATATGAATGGCCATGTTCAAAATAATCTCATTCAATTTGGTTATCTCAGAGGAAGACTGGGAAATTTTAATTGAGGTGCTTTCTCAAGAGGATAACAAAGTCTTTGGGCTTGACTTCTCAAGGGCTAACCTCAGAAGTTACTTTAAGAAGTTCCTCGAAGTTATGAGAACTGATAATCTTTATTTATACGTGGATCAAATCATTTTTGGAAAAGTCAATCTTTCTACAAGGAAGATGATCAAACTTGCAAATTTCTTACTAATCTACTATTCTGAGACAGAGAACCCAATGCCTACAAGTATGATGTCATATGTTCTAAAATGTGATGACAACTATCAGTGCTCTAGAATCCTTGAACTAAAACGGAACCAGATCAGGAAGAGCTCAGTGAATCATAAGATTCACGCTGGAGCTCCTTTTGGTGTAAAATATAACAGAGACAATCGTAAGTAGCCTTAATTATTCTTTAGATTCCAAAAATGCCAATAACGCAAGAGATTTTTCAAGAAATAAAGAAATTGCTGTTGCGAATAGCGTCTCTGATATCGAAAACTCTATAGTTGACGATCCCAGGAAGGAAAGAGTCTTGAAAATAGATATGAAATTACAGAGGAATCTTTCCGTTTTTGACTACAAAATTCTTTATGCTATCCGTAAGTCTCTAACTCATCTTGGTTATAGATAAACAATGTGCAGTACAGATGGATATTGATATCGTTGGGAATTATTATAAGGAGCCAAAGAAGTTTAACCCCAATATATGGTTTTCTGAAATCAGAGCTGTGATTCAAGCAATGGACTATTATATGGAACCTGAAGATCAAAGATTCATCAACTTTAGGCTGATGATCTTCTTCTCATACATAAACTTCTTTATTATCCTGATTGCCTGCCTTACTATCCCACCGATTCATAAAGAAAACTGTGGAAGTGGGATTTCCTGGAATGGTCATTTTATTATGTGGGCTCTATGTATTTTAAGCATTTTTGTAGAAATATTCCTCTTTTATTGAGCTATACCTAAGGACATACTCAAGAAAATACTTAAAGAAGCTATAGGTGACCAGAAAGAAAGTGCAAATAAAAAGATTGTTACTTTGCTAGCAATAGTAATGAATGGATGGTTCTTTGTATCTGGATTTATTGCAAAAGCCGATCTTTATACTGATATAACGTTTGCATTAGAAGCCAGAGATTGAGGATATCCTGCTGTAGCTGTCTTAAGTTTAATTTTCTTTGTGTTATCCATTTCATACCAATTATATTCGTTCTTTAAGTTACTCTTCTATATCCATATAAAGAACTCTGCATATCCCGTCTCAGAGCAAGCAGCAAGGCTGCTTCTTTGAGGAGAATTCAGATGACTGGCTTTAATAATGGAAAGATTTTCATTGACATATTACACAAAATTCTTTGGCAAAAAGGTGCATATTCCAAAACTCTTGGCATTCTTAAAATGTTTCTTTGAGGATCTGCCTCAATTCTTTATTCAACTCTACTTTATCATATCCAATGAGAAAGACTCTCTCACGGTGTATATGTCTATTTTCATAAGTTGCTGTTCGCTTGTAATCTCTTTTATTGCTTTCTTAATAGCTACGACCAGTATTCTCTCAAACGAAAAGCTTGACTACATCATGAAGCAAGGGGTGGTCAGGAATATTGAGTACAACACCAACAGGCCTGAAGACATAGAGGATTCTGATACCCAAAGAGAGAAGGAACTCCAAGAACTACACGACCAAAGAGACCTACTTTCTGAGATTGAATCCTTGCCCACAGAGAACAAAGAGCAAAAACTTTATAAAGACAAAATGCGGTTCCAAGCTAAGTATAAAATGGAGGTCGAGTCTGAATTTGGTCGCCACTCCGAGAGAGAACTCCGGTCAATACAGGAGGAGCTTGAAGAAGCTAGTGAAGGGTTCAATATTGAGTTTGAGCAGAAGTATAATTCTAAGAATTTCTCAAAAACAGAGAAGTGTATTGAATATAAGAAGCTTAAAAATAGTGAAGCTAAAATTAATGAGCGAAATAAAATACCTTGGAACAAAGAGACTAAGGCCCAAGAAGTCAAAATACTAGAGCCTAAACTCAATAGTTCTAAATTCTCAGAAGAGAATAGTCCAAAGAGGAAATCACCTCTAAAGAAGCCGAAGGAGAAGAACCAGTCATGGCTTGGAAAAATAAAGAATACTTTTCTAGGAAATAATGAAATAAAACCTGAAGAGAGTGGTATAGAAAGCATGAATCATTCAAACTCGACTAATAATGGGCAAAAATCACCAAGAAAACTCGAAGAGGATAAATCAAACAATAATGGTCAAATTTTGCCCATAAATGCATTATCCACCCAGCAAAACTTCTATGGAACTCGGGCTTCTATAAGTTGTAAAAAATCAGGAACACAGGATTCAAAAGACCAAAAGGCTGACCTCTCTGATTCTGTAGATGAGTCTGTCCAGAGCAGAGAAACAATATTCCAAAAGATCACCAATCAGATGCAGGATCATAAATCTAATAATAGTAAAGAGTAATATTCAGTGACTCATACCTCCCTTGGGGTTTTGGGGTTTTGGGGTTTTGGGGTTTTGGGG